AGATTTCAATTTTGATTCCATCAATTCCTGGTGCCTTGTTCTTTGCCAATTCCTTCAATGCACCTTGGACTTCCTCCTTCAGTATCACTAGCTCTTAATCATATGCTATCTCTTGAAACTGCTGATAATTTCTTTTGGTACAGTGACTCTGTGTAGGCAAATTACTGAATGATGCAGAAAGCATCAAGAGAAGCTGGAAGAAATACACAGAGGTAATAAATGTAGTATACTAAAAATCATTCATTCTGAGTCACTGGGCCTGGGGGCTCAGGACCATAGTCTCAGGCAACATCCTGGTCAATTGGCATAATACAGTCACCAAAGCCTACATTCTCTATCCTGCTTTGGTGAGTAGCCAGTGGGGTCTTAAAAGCTCATGAGTGGCCATTTAAGGTGTAACTATTAGTATCTCACTGTCAAGAGGAATCAGAGTAATGAAATTTGAAGATGCATGGAAATAATTAGTCCAATGGACTAATGAACCATGGGGACAGAGGAACTAGATGGTGCTCAGCTACCACTACCAGCTGCTCTGAAGGAATAATATTAGAAGGTCCTGGATCGAGTAGAGGAAAATGTAGAACAAAACTCAAGCATAATTGTTGTTGTTGTTATGTGCCATGGAGTCGGGTCTGACTCACAGCGACCCTGTACAGGGTTTCGGAGGCGAGGCTGGTGGGTTGAATTGTTGACTTTTCATTTAGCACTCCAATACTTACCCTACAGTGCCATACCAGGAGTCTTTGGTGTTGTTGTTGTTAAGTGCCGTCGAGTCGGGTCCGACCCATAGCGACCCTGTACAGGGTTTCCGAGGGTGTAAATCTTTACGGGAGTAGAAAGCCTAATCTTTCTCCCGCGGAGCAGCTGGTAGTTTCGAACCGCTGACCTTAAGGTTCGCAGCCCGATTCGTAACCACTACGAAGCATAATTAGGAAATGTTAAAAACTCTTAGGTCAGCCCCAGTGTGAAATACTAATAAAAGCATCATGCTTATTGTATTTAACCAAATTAAATATTACTTTTATCTAACCCGTTAGATAAACGTAGAAGAATAAAAAGATTAAAGAAAAACTAGATGGTCACAGAAGTGACTTGTCCCATCAATGATCTGAAATAGCCAGTCATTAGCACACAGTAGTCACAAAGTACTAAAAAAGCACAGAATGAACCATCCATATTTCCCTCCTTATTACATTTTGCTTCCCATATTTCCCTTTTTGTTTTTTCCTTATTTCTCCGCACACACCTTTTTCCAAGTACATCTGCTTACCAACTTTTCCCCTCCAGCTCCAGATATATAAGGTTTTCCATATCCTTTAATTGCAGAACTACTTCTTCTGTTTTCAGAGAAAACACCTTTATCTGCCCTCCCCTTGGCATTGGACAACATCCCTGATACATTCTGTGAAACAGAACCTTATGTGATTTAGACATCGTGTGAAAACTGTATCTGGTCTTGCTCTTCGTCTAAGCCAAGCTTTGTGCCTTAGCAATGATCATCAATGTATTTAGAGGAATTCACTTTTATACTTGAACCTCAATCCATATCATTAACAATTTCTCCATATCGGATATAGGTCCCTCTCCCACTTTTGATAGCCTTATAACTATCAAAATTTCCCAGGTGGCACACTGCTAAATGAGAGATCAGCAGTTCAAACTCTCCAGCCACTCTGTAAGAAAAAACTGAGACTATCTGCTTCCATACAGATTTATAGTCTCAGAAACTATATGCATCATTTCAACTCTGTCCTATAGAGTCACTATGAGTCAGAATTGTGTCTAAGGCAGTGGGTTTGGGGATTATTTGTAGTTTTCAATAAAACTGATCCTTTAACAGGATAATTTTTCCTTTGTTTTTGAGGATCACTGTTGATTGGTGAGTGTGATGCCTTAATCATGAACACTAGTATTTACTGATTTTCCACCTGCAAGCTTGCAGTACAGTGAATACGGCTGGCCATGTCTTTCTAACTCCCATTAAACAACTTCTTCCTGATATGTCTGAGTAACAAAGGTGGGAGAAGACGCAGATAGGATTACACGAGTCAGTTGTGAGGGATTGCTGACAGGGTTCATTGTGAAATCTTGGAACTCTATTATGGATATAAAATGAACCATCTCAGAAGTAGGAATGGGGAAATCTCACTACCGTCAAAGAAGAGCAAGGAGTAGTGTGTGTCCTTTGGGCAAGGAGTTTCAGTGCCCAAGTGCAGAAATACGTGCCACCAGAGGAATGACAGATGAGCAGCAGCAAAGGATCCAGTAGCCAGAGCATGAGACAGAGTGGTGGCTTCCCAGCCTATGGAGCAAGTAAAGTTGAACGACATTGAGTAAGAGGCTGGCTTGCAGAGTGCGGTGCCTCTAAGCAATATATTCGGGGAGATAGGTTTACTAATCTAAGGCAGAGGCTTATGAAGTGCTGTGTTCAGTGGGCATTTATCAGCAGACCTAAAAGCTTTGAAATACTGCCAAGCAGGGCAGATGGCAGACCAAGGAGCTGAGAGAGAAAAACCTGTTTGTGGGCACACTGAGGAGAGACTGTCCTGACTAGAAGAGCTGTGGCCTGAACATTGCTGACCCTGAGTTGTAACCCATTGACTTCCCTAATAAACCCTTCTATGGCCCTTGTCACCCTTCAAGTTTGAACTTAACTCATCCCTGTGGCTCAACTTTTATCCAAGTGATAGATAGGTATAGAGAAGAAACACCACCACTAATGAGGTTTGCACACCAGAGATCTGAGGTTAAAAACAGCAGCATTTACCCAAAGACAAAGTTCAGAAAAAAGAAAGAATGGAAAAAGAAACACAGGAAGATAGTGGATTAAGTGGTGTTACACTGAAGGGACTGCAATCAACAAGCTAAAATTAAGCGTAAATGATTTGTTGAATGTAACTCTGTTGGTATGCGCTGTAAACCTTCATTCAAATCGCAATTTAAAAAAACTGCCAGGCCTTTCTTCTAAGGCACCTGAGTGGGTTCGAACAGACAAAAAAAAGATTAAAAAATCATTCCTTCTGATAAATTAAGATTATGATGCTACTTTCAAGGATACACATGCGCACACACACCAAATTTAAAAAAAAAAAAAAAAAAAGCAAAGGAGAACAGGAAAAGGAAGGGAAAGAAAGAATAGCAAAAAGCAGCAAATTTAGTTTTTAAGAAAAAGATCTAAGGTGCCCCCTTTTTAAATTAAGACTGCATATACTGGAAATGACTGAAAGTTCTCCTCCCCCTTTCATCTTAGAGGAGGAAACTAAAACCTGGAGAAGGAAGTGACTTGCCTAAAGTTACATATCAAGTTACTAACAAAAAAAATTAAAACTGAAATCTGCTGATTCACGTTCAATGTAGATTTTCCATATCATAACACCTTTTTATATGCCATAATAATCATTAAAAAGAATGTTCTATTTTATATAAATATATATTTAATTCTATATTATATACCATACTAAGGAATAAAGTTGTTGTTGTTGTTGTTAAGTGCCATCGAGTCGGTTCCGACCCATAGCGACCCTGTACAGGGTTTCCGAGGGTGTAAATCTTTACGGGAGTAGAAAGCCTCATCTTTCTCCCGCGGAGCGGCTGGAAGTTTCGAACCGCTGACCTTAAGGTTCACAGCCCGATTCATAACCACTACGCTACCAGAGTAGTAAGTAAATGAAAGAGGAGGAACAAGGCTGAGAAGAAGGTGCACGCAACAAACTGGTAAGACATGAAGACTAACTATATGTATATACCATACTTTCTTAATTCTGAGACACTTTTCACTTTAAGACACAGTATCAAACTTTCAAGAAGGAACCTAGATCCAGAGGGTGTGGAGGAAGATAGAATCTCTCCACTGAGTAGTATCCAATCTGTCTAGGCAGGGCTGATGAAAGGAAATGCGGATAGGTCTCTTGTGATACAATAGTGAATAACTGTTACCAGGACTGACTGTGAGGGTTGGAAATGTAAAGGTAGATGTTTTATAGCGAGGAGGGGAGTGATTAACTTTGCAGTCTAGGAGCAGAGGTCCCTGGGACCATGAAGGGAGAAGTGCAGAGAGCAGACTCTACCCAGAGAAGCAGTGATGCCTGAGATGGAACAGCTGGGGGCTTTAGACACAGAGAGGGAGAGGGGCTGTATGCTGACAACCAGGGGGCAGGCTTGTAGGGTATTCTCTTTGGTTGGTTGATGATGCATGGAGGGGATTGTAACCATGGCAATAAAACGATATACGATAGAATGAATGTAAAACTAATGTTCTCCCATGTAAACTATCACATAATTCACAATAAAACATTAAAAAAAAAAAAAAAGGCACAGTATCCCCTTCATAAATATCTTGAAATAGGCATTGCAAGCAAACTCCAAAGCAAGAAAATGTATTATAATGAACCCCATAATACACAAAGATCACCATAATACACAAAGATCAGCATCGTTTTTTTAGAGGCCATGTCATAGGACACATAAAATCCACAAACACAAAAAACAAGAGTACCATGTTGTAGGTTAACAAATAACTGAATACCTAAAGCTTTGTGGCATTTTTTTAAATTGTAGGAAACACTATAAGCAAGTCTTTCTTGATATTTGTCTCAGAAGCATGAAATTCACGGTTGGATTAGATAAAGAAAGGTTTGAATACCAGTTCTGCCACTTAGTAACTCTCTAACCTTTGGAAAGTTACCAACTTCCTGAGGTTCATTCTCCTTCATCTGTAAAATGGAATACTCATCTTAAGAGAATTTTGTGAAAATGAGCTGTGATGATATATTAAGGAAACAGCACACAGAGCCTACATGAAAACAGCACTCCCATTATTATTAGGTTGTTTCCTCTCATAATCCCTATGGGCCAAAGAAATTTTACTGAAAATGAGCTCCTACATGACTTACAGGAGTCCTGGTGTAGCACTGTAAGCTAATGTGCTGGACTGCAAAATTGGTATGAACTGCAAGGTTGGCAGTTCAAGCTCACCAGCCTCTCCAAGGAAACCCTATCCAGGGTCACTATGGCTCAGAACTGACTCTACAGCACTTAACAACAACAACAACAACTTGACTTATAAGATTTCTCCTCTATTTGGGAAATGTGGTCCTGTAAGAGTAAGCACTTGACCACAAGGTCTGTTTGAACTACAAGGTCAGTAGATCAAACTCCCCCAACTGCTCCTTGGAAACCTATACAAAGTTGCTGTGAGTCGGAACCAATTAGATGGCACTTAACAATAAAAACAATGATAACAGGGCAAAACCAGTAGGATTTGCTTTAGGAATAATTCTTAGGAGCTCTGGTAGCGTAGTGATTACGAATCGGGCTGCGAACCTTAAGGTAAGCGGTTCGAAACTACCAGCCGCTCCGCGGGAGAAAGATGAGGCTTTCTACTCCCGTAAGGATTTACACCCTCGGAAACCCTGTACAGGGTCGCTATGGGTGGGAACCGACTCGACGGCACTTAACAACAACAACAACAATTCTTGTATAAAAAGCTTACATTCTTGAAATTTATCTCTTTTCCCTCTCCAAAATGTGAATAGGAAACAATGAGCAATTCATAAGCACTTTAATTAAGCTAGTTACATACAAACTCAGCACTTTTACACTGTCAAACTGGGACTCTGTATATCAAAATAACAAAGGCAAACCCAATGAAGGGAGGACTACAGAACCAATGTGTAGGAATAAGTAAAAATCCAAAGCCAAAAGAAACAGTTCGCATGACTCAAGTCTACGTGTGCGCGTGCGCACACGCTTCAACCTTATATTCATGTATTAAATTCTAAGAAAACAAATGTTCAAGAGTATCAACACCGTATCTCCATGACTGAGATATTTTAGTAACTTGATTCCCCAGAATAAGCAAATGACATTATTCAGTATATATAGTTTCACAATGTTTCTATCAACAATAACCCAGTCATTTTCAAGATAAGAATATGTCTATCAAAGTAGCTGGTACAGATAGGTACTAAAATAAGATCATCTTTTCTCTATACCAGACATAGTTCAGACTAGCCTATTCACATACAGGTAGTCCCCAGATGACAAATGAATTCTGTTCCGTCTATCTCTATATCAAATTTGTTCGTAAATTGGAACACCTACATAGTTAGGTTCAGTTAGTCAAATGTCTAGTACTATATAATATATAGTGTTTCTTTGCATAAAAAACATTAAAGAAATACTTCCAGATATACTAGTAACATACAGTAATAATGTTTTGATGTGTGTCACAAAGTAATGCCCATTCCTCTAAATTTTAATGTAATAGGTTTTACAGGAGTTGGTTCTTAACATTCTAAACTCAGAGACTGCCTGTATTCCCTATTATCCCATTTCAGTTTAATAGTCCCCCATCATAAAAATAATACATGCTCAGTTTATAAAGTCTGGGTTTTAAAGTATCAACATTTTTAAATCATCCATGATTTCACCAAAGACTATTATACATTAGAAGGGGCCATACTATAATCTTTCTTGTGAGTTTAACTTTAATTGTGGCTATACCAAATATTTAATTTTATACAGAATACTTTCTACTAAGCATGATTAAGCTACTGGCCCATTATCTTAATATCTTCATTCCAGCTTTCCTGAGTATTTTGGGTTCTTCAAACTCTCAATGGTTTCTTCTCAATTTTTGTTCTTGAGTCTCTCACATATTTTGCTGCTGACCCCTTCTTTCTTAAAACACTCTCTGGCCTATGATTCTCTAACAATATATCAAGGGGCTTCAAAAAGTTCATGGGAAAATGATATTAAAAGATAATTAAATTTTTCCACGAACTTTCTGAATCTCTCTTGCATTCCTCAGTATTTATAGAAATTGTTTTAACTAAATCTTTTTATCCTTCACTGACTCCTCTTTTATTAACTCTGATGAGCTCTTCAAAATGACTCAAGTCTGACCTTTGGATTTTCTTTGATCCCCCATCATTTAGCACAATGCCTAGCACCAAGAAGATGCTCAATAAACTATATGTGGACAGACTTTGCATATCCTGACCCAACCATTTACTGGCTATATGACGGACACTAAAAAGTTAAATCCCTCAGACTGGGTTCCTTAATCTATAAAATACAAATTATCAAAATGAGATAATGGGGAGCCCAAAACATTGCCTAACGCAACATAGCACTCAATAAATTGTTATTATCATCAACATAATCTAGAACAGAGCTCAAAAATGTTTCTGATTAGCTTATCAATCACTCAATAATCCAATGTACTTTCACTATATCCTTTTATTATAACTATCATATAACTACCACATTTTTGCTCTTTACTACTTACTCTAATCCATTAAATGTTCAAATTCTTCTCTCTTTGCCACCAAATAAAACTATCACTTATCAACTTAACTACAGTAGATGTGGTTGATTTCCATGACCCTAGTTGCTCTATAGCATAGTGGTTATGAATCGGGCTGCTAACCTTAAGGTCAGCAGTTTGAAAACTACCAGTCGTTCCGTGGGAGAGAGATGAGGCTTTCTGCTCCCGTAAAGATTTATAGCCTCGGAAAACCTGTGCAGGGTCATTATGTGTCAGAATCGACTCCATGGTACTTAACAATAACAACAACAATTGCTCTCTGTGGGTTAATGCACCAGACTACAAAGCCATCTGAACTAAAAGGTTGGTGGTTCAAGTTCACCAGTCGCTCCTTGGAAACCCTATACAGGGTTGCTATGGGTTGGAACCAACTCGACAGCAGTTAACAACAATTTATCTTCATTCAAAACTTTCCTTAAAAAACATTTTTATTTTCTCACTTTTATTCACAGTTCCTTGTAGCAGGTCCAGATTATGAAAAATGTCATCCTCATTTCTTCCAATAACTCATGTCCCAACTCCTAGTTCAAAAGATGGCTCAAAACTCACCTCTTCCAGGAAACCTTTCCTGATTAACTTCACACCACTCAGATGGTTTGCTTCTTTGCTCCGAGTTGCCTCAGCACCTCAGCACTTAGATATTCTGTTTACACTAAAGATAAAATGTGATCAGTGAAGAGCATTACCAAAACACGATTCCACAAAATTATTTCTACATTCTAAAGAAAGGTCCATTTATCATTACGCTTTGCTGATCTGCTTACAAGGAAACATCTTGTACAACAAATGCCATTTTGGGTTTCTGTCCTTGATACTATGCTATTTTACATTTGTCAGTAAGTGTTGTAACTCTAGTTCTAGCCTCAAACAGAAATCATACTTCAGTGCTCACCATCCCCTCTTGCGTAAATCTACTGGAAACATGAAAGTGGGTCACTTTCTTCCCTGCTACCTCTTCTCTGCCCCACTCTACACCCACACCCAGAAATAAAAATCTAAAAGCTTAAAATAGAAAGACATAGTAGTAATACATACACTATATAAAAAAAAACAAAAACGCTCAACTATTTAGTTACAAAACTACTCCCAGGACTGTGAAAGATTTCTCAACAATGTATGACACATAATCCAATTCTACTACAGCAAAAGCGTTGGTCCTATACAGTAAGTAGTTACAGTGCTCCTTGAAAGATGAGACAGTTATCTTCCCTAAAGACTACAGACTTAGAAACCCGAAAGGAACCATTCTAGTCTGTCGTTATGAGTTGGTAGCTACTCAATGGCAGTGGGTACATACTAACATGACTGGGCCTACATGTTAATTCTCACTTGTGTCGCTGTAAACGATCCTGCATCATTATTTTGGTTTATAGTCTCCACAGCCAACTAGATGGTTGAGACACTTCCGTGGAGAGCAGATTTTCTCAAAGAATCCTCCAATGTTGTCTTTAACAACATTGCAGACATTTTTTTTTTTTAATGCAAAGCTTCTTTACTGTCATCCAATCAAAATCTAACAAGACACTTGTCATTACTTGTGAGAGGGTGAGTTTGTTTGCTGCTGAGGCCAAACAAGGAGGCGGAGGGCTGTGCTGGGGATCAGCCTCAGTTCAACAGTGAGAGTTAAGAAATCTGAGTGTTTGGCCTTCCATGAATTCCTGATCTGGCTAACTCCTACCTGAGACATGCGTCTCTGCAGCTACCAAAGGGGAGAGTTGTACTTGCTCACCTACTCTAAAAAGAGCCACACCCTCCAGTTACCCACACAGGAATCTATCTCGTTTGCTTTTCAACTTTCTAACTGGCCAACTACCGCCTCCTAGTTAAAAACCTCCATCCACAGCTCACCTAAACCCTTTTCCTCTCAGTCACCTTCCGGTTTCAGTGTATCTTGAACTCCACATCCACGTGTCTCAGTGTGCCCAGCGTCCTTAACCTTCAAAAGCCAACCAAGCCTGTCCTACCTTTACTCCCAGCTCATCTCCCCCCACCCATTCTCAATCTCCCTTTCCAAGAGACCTTTCTCCCTCCAGCACCCTTTTCTGGGTATCAGCCTTCTCCCATCACTTTCTCCCTACCACACCCGAATTCTTCCATCACAGGCCTCCTTCCACAGCCACCTTCGAGTACACGGGTGGAATCCTCCGTTAACTACCCCGCTCCACCATCGCCACCTCTCCACGGCCTCCCCACCCCAGGCAGCGCCCCCGGGCTCTGCAGCTGCAGAGCAGGCCCTTCCCGACTTCCCCAATAGCGGTCCCGACTCTCCCGAGAGCGACGGCCAGACCAAGTCGCAGCGACCACCAGGTCTGGAGATCGCGCCCGCCGCACTGAGCTGACGAGAATGGGGGTGGAGGCGGGGGCGGGGCGTGGGGCGTCCGTCGCCCCCGCCTCGGCCCAGCCTGCCGCACTAGCTCCCGCAGTCGCGGCCGCTGTCCGGACCAGGTGAGGAAGAGCCCGCAGCCCTGCCGCTCCGACCCGCGCTCCTGCCTCTCACCTAGACACAGAGCCTCGGGCCTCTTTTCTGCTGGCCGTCCAGCGATGGCTCTGCCTCCGCCGTCGCGCTCTCCTCACTCGCTTTTTCACCGCCCCCGACCGGCAGCTGAAGAGCGGACGGGCAGAGGCACGCCCATTGGCTGCGGGGAGCACTCGCGTCAGCCAGCCCCGACCCGAATCTCGGGATGTTACTGGCTGGCGTGGCGCCGCTCTTCCACGTCTCGTTGTGATTGGCTCTCTCGCGCCCCCTTACCGGGAATACCGCTCACCCTCCTGCCGGCTTTAGCCTCCCACCCCCGAAAGCCTGTTTCCATCTGGGCTGGAGGGGGGTGGGAGCCTGAGCCGGTGGGACGCGAACGGCCAATGAGGGCGCGAAAAGGAGGACGAGAGGTGGGTTCTAAGGCAGGCCGGCCCGCTGGGAGAAAGCTCAGCCAATGGGCAAACGCCCCACATCCCGGGCTCGGCGGCGCCCTCCCTGGCCGCTCGCGTCCCGACGTGTCGCGCCCAGGGCCACGCCCGGCTAGTGTCTCGCGGAAGGGGCGCCCACCTAAGAGGTCCGCAGGACGTCGCGGAACCGCTATTGTGTCGTGCTTGGAACTGCTTACGTGGGGCCTGGGGACCCTCCGACCACTCCTGGAGGTTAGGGACCCGCCTAGAATACTATCCCCTTGATGGAGTTGCTTCTGGTCAGTGATTGAGGGTCTCTCTGGGCCCCTAGAATCCCCTTAGGGTGTCCAGTAGGAAGGAACCCAAGCCTCGATCTCGTCTTACCCCAAGGGACTTTTGGCTACATTTTCCCACCTTCCACTGCCTCCGAAGTGATTTAGTACAAAACTAATCTATGGTGGAGACAGACGAACGAATAATAAATGGTTAGGGAAATTGGTTAAGTGCCATCAAATGGTTCTGAATGCTAGCGACTGGTAAGTTTGAACCGCCTACCCTATGACTCAAACCGAGCTTGCAGTCCTGTGCTTTATCTTAAAATGCTACACTAGAACTCTGGGGTATGTTTATATGAACACAATTCCACTTCACTTAGACTAGCATATCTATTGTTACATTACTATATGTGTTGTTATTAAGTGCTCAGAGTCGGTTTCTACTCTTAACATTTCTGAGTATTGATGGGTTTGAACCACCGACCATGTGGTTAGCAGTCCAGCGCTTACCCTACAGCGCCATATCAGGGCTCTATATGATATTAATATGGGATCTTGGTGTGACACTGTAGGATACCGACTAGAGGGCACTTAACAACTAGGAGTCTGAATCGACCCCAAGGCACACAGCAACATGTAATACTTGGTTTTAAAAAAATGTTGAGATTTACTTCAAATGAAAGAGACCCTAATGGGATATGTAAATGTTCTTTATCTTAATCAGGGTACTGGTTATAGGTGTGTATACACATGTATGGAGTCCTGGTTTGTAGCTGTAGGATCAGCACTGGACATCCAATCACAAGGTTCAAAACCACCAGCTGCTCCTCAGAAACCCCGTATAGGGTTGTTCTGAGTCAGAAACTCTACGGCACTAAACAACAACAATAACCTACATATGTACAATGAGACCTGGAGATCACAATGGATGAAGCATTGGACTGCTAACTAAAAGTTGGTGATTCAAATGCACCAGCCACTCAGCCAGACACAGACAAGGCAGTCGGCTTCCTTAAAGATTTACAGCCTGAGAAACCCTATAGTGCAGTTCTGTGCTTTCTTATAGGCTCACTACTTGACAGAATCAGCTCACAGGAGTGGGCTTGGTTTTGGTTTATACACATGTAAAAACTCATGGAGCTACACACTTAAATGTGTGAACTCTACACAGTGCATATTACTCAATTTTTAAAATTAAAATAATACAAATCTTGTGAGATTTAAAAACAAATGGAAATTCCTCAAACTGAGGATATGGCACAGAGAGAATGGTACTTTGATGATGGGCCAGAGTGATTTTTCTTTGGCTGTTTAGAGTCAATTTCAGCACCAGACCCTGTTGTTGTTGTTGTTAAGTGCCATCGAGTCGGTTCCGACCCATAGCGACCCTGTACAGGGTTTCCAAGGGTGTAAATCTTTACGGGAGTAGA